GAAACGACCTGGGCATGGAATTTCCGCCCGGCTGCTGGCGGGGCGGCCTCCTCCTCTTCCTCCTCCGCCCTACATCCTCCTGCCCCCCCCCATTTTTTTTCCCTCCCCCCCCCCTCCTCAAACACTGATGCTGGGCTAAGCTCAGCGCAAGCGAAGAATCATCTGTCTCTCTGGCGATGTGGTGCGGGCTCCAAGAAAGTGCGACACATATTGCGCTCCCGCGGGACTTCCAATCGTTTGCCTCTCTTGCCTCCTCCTTCCTCCTTCTCCTCTCCTACCCCTCCCTCCATCATCCTCTCCTCCTCTCCTCCTCCTCCTCCCTCCTCATCCCTCCCTCCTCCTCCTCCTCCCCTCCCCCTCCTCACTCCCTCCTTCTCCTCCCCCTCCTCTCCTTTCCTCCTCACCCTTCCAATTCCGTCATTCTCCTCCTCTTCCTCGTCTTCCTCCTCCTCCTTCTCCTGCTCCTCCTCCATCCTTCCTCCTCCCTCCTCCATCCTCCTTACCTCATTACCTGCTCCTTCTCCTCCTCCTCCTCCTCCTCCTCCTCCTCCTCCCTTTCCTCCTCCTCCATTCCGTATAAATGCCTTCTCCCTGTCGCACCCCGAGGCCAGTTCTTAGCGCGGGCCTGGCGTTTCGCCTGAGACTTCCTCACCGCTGATGACCCTGAAGCTTAAACACTGGCAACAGTTTCATAGATGGAGGCTGGATGGTTTTCAAAATGTGGCTCTCACCTTAGCGCCGCGCACATTCGTTTTACACATTTGCAAAAGCTTCACGGATTAAGGGCGGGTGGTTTGCAAAATGTGGCTCGCCCCAGCGCCGCGCACATCCGTTCAAAACTTTGTAAGAGTTACACGGATTGAGGGTGGCTCCTTTTTTAAAATGTGACTCTCGCCTAAGCGCCGCGCACATTCGTTGTAAACATTTGCAATGGCTTCACGGGTTGAGAGCGGTTCCTTTTCAAAAGGGGGCTCTCGCCTAAACGACGCGCGCATTTTTTGTTTTACAATGCAAAAGCTGCACGGGTTCCCATGATCCTCGTACCAGAAATGCGTGTTGGAAGAATTCAGGACCATACAGGTGCAATAGCTGCATTGATTCGCGGTGTTGAAGTCCCAGGAATGGCCTTCTGGCACGATTCACGATCGCCACGCCGCAACAGTCAAGTTTGTTCGTTGCGTTGTCATCCCGAGAACAATGTTTTGGCACGTTCGGGGGTCTTCAAACGGTTGCCTTGAAACACGGTAGTTGCCTCAGTGGAACTGAACCCTTGTAGGGGCCTATGAAGAGGGAGCTTGGAGGGAGGGCTTGCTTCAACATCATTGATGACTCTTAGGTTTACACTGGTCCTCCTCCTCCTCCTCGTCCTCCCCCTCGTCCTCCTCCTCCTCCTCGTCGTCGTCCTGTTCCTCCTCTTCCTCATCCTTCTCCTCATCCTCCTCTTTCTCCTGCCTCCTCCCTCTCCTCCTCCTACCCCTCGGAGAGATCAACAACAACAGCAACATCAACAAAGGCGATGCCCCTGGCCGGCAGGCTCTCTCCGCTCTGATTTCACACAGTGCCTCGGGCGAGCCTTCCACCTGCTCTGGATACGGTCTGGGTGAGAAGAGGGACGATGACGAGTCTGGGGCTGTCAGAGAGGAAACTGAGGACGGGGAGACGAGAAGATGAAGAGAGCCACGAAGACGTAGAGCAAGGAGAGGCGGACGAGAAGTAGGACGGGGGAGATGGGAGGGGAAGGAGGACGATGAGCAAGAGGATGATGGAGAAGAGAACCAGGAGGATAGGACAAATGAAGCGGACAAGGAGATGAGGACCAACAGGACAAGGATACAGATGCATCCGTGAGGAGGGTGGAGCATATGAGGACACAGAGAGCGGCCAAGAGAAGAACGTGGTTGGAGGAAGATGAAGAGGAGGGAGGAGAAGTAGCAGCTGCAGGGGGGCGAGGAGGACAAGAACGAGAAAGAGGAGTTAGAGGAGGCCGAAACGGACGAGGGGGACGAGGCGGGTGAGAGGGCGAGGCGAACGGAGTGATGGGCATCGAGGGAGGGGACGAGAAGGACACAATGTGCAAGTGGGAGTGAGGACGATGAGAAGGCCATGCGCCTTGCACCAAGCATGTAATGAAATACTTAGGAGGAGCGAGGAGGAGGAGGAGGAGAAGGAGGAGGAGGAGGAGGGGGAGGAGGGGGAGGAGCAGGAGGGGGAGGGACACAGGTTATCCCAAACGACGGCGCAGGACGCGGCGAGAGCTTCCGAACATGAGAGACGGGATCCAGAGGAAAACAAATCCTCCGTCGTGGGCGAAACACATATCCATACTAGAACCATCGCGCGCGCTTCGCGTGCGCTCAAGTTCTAGCTAGCTTCTTGGAGACTCCTCGGAGCATCCTGGACTGCTTCTTGAAGTCGTCATGGGACCTTCTTGGTGTCTTCGGGGGCCTCTTCGAAAGAGTTTTGAAGCCTTTTGGGTGCCGTCTTGGGGCCTCTTGGAGCCTCTTTGGGGCTTCTTGGGGGCCTCTTGGGGCCTCTTGCGGGCCTCTTGGGGCCTCTTGGGGGCTTCCTGGGGCATCTTGGGGCCTCTTAGGGGCATCTTGGGGCGGAGAGCTTGATTTTTCAGTCCGCGTTCCCTTTCTTGGGCCCCTCCCTCTTGGGGCCTTCTTGGAACCCTCTTGCGCCGTCTTGGGCGGCACTGGGGCCGTCTCGGGGCACTCTTTGGCCGTCTTGGGGCCCTCTTGGGGGCCTCTTGGGCCGTCTTGGAGCGGTTTTGGGAGCCTCTGGGGCGGTGCTTTAGCGCCGGAAACACGAAACAGCGAGAATGCAAACAAACAAAAACATGGAAAGAACACATGAGAATCAACGATTTTGCCCTCTCGGGGCGCTCTTGGGCGGCATCTTAAAGGCCTCTTGGGGCGTCTTGGGAGCCTCTGGGGCAGTTTTAAACGCATCGTGCGCCGCCAGAGACCCCTGGACGGCGTCTTGGGGGTGTCTCGAGACCGCCTGGGGCCGCCAGGATTGCTGTCTGAGGGCTCCCGGGGGCGATTTTCAGCCTCCCAAAGAAAGCGGGCCCAGACCCCAGTCCCCACATTTGTGGTCGAGGTTCCAGCCCTCGGCCCCCGAGCCCGGTGCGCCGTTATATCTATATCCACGGCCTCGCGGGCGGGGCCCTGGGCCGCGACCCCGCGGATGCGGGGCGTTGCTTCGCGGATGCCCCGCGCGGAACGTATCCGTGCGACGGCGTATCCGCGGGATCGCGCCCCAGCAATCCAGACCGCGAGGGCGCGGATCGGGGGTGAGGGGGTGAGATCGACTTGGAACGGAGAGCCCACCACTGGGAGATCGGTTTCGGTTTCGGATTCGTGCCGTGCGTGCGGGCGAGGCGAATCTGCGTGGGCGGACAAGAAGAATGAACCCTCCTCGGGCTAGCGCGCGGCGAAGACGGCAGTCCGCCCCGCCCACGGCCGCGTGGCGGGTGGGTGCCGGGGAGTCCCGCCGTACAGTCGGACTTGATTGGAGAGGACACGCGAGAGGACACAAGACCCTTCCGAGGGCCACCTCGCCATAGGAGTGTAAGGAGGCACGTGTCGCGAGGCACAGGACACAATGGTACCCTTGAGCTGGCAGGGTCGACCTACCAATCTGGGCCGACTGTCCCAATGGTGCCCCGTGCTGTCCCGCGGTGTCCCGTGGTGTCCCGCGGTATCCGGCCGTGGTGTCCCGATGGTGTCCCGATGATGTCCCGTGGTGTCCCGTGGAATCCCGCGGTGTCCCGTGGTGTCCCACGGTGTTCCACGGTGTCCCGCGGTATCCGGCCGTGGTACCCCGATGGTGTCCCGATGCTGTCCCGATGGTGTCCCGTGGTGTCCCGTGGTGTCCTGCGGTGTGCCGCGGTGTCCCACGGTGTCCCGTCGTTTCCCGTGAGACCGATACTGAGGTCGATGGTGAGATCAACAGTTAGATCGATAGCGAGATCGATAGTGAGATCGATAGTGAGATCGATAGTGACATCGAAAGTGAGATCGAAAGTGAGATCGACAGTGAAATCGTTGGTGAGATCGATTCAGTGGGCGCTGGTTCCTCCCCCCCCGAACCTCCCTATGACCCGAAGAGTTGTCGTACAGGTACGGATATATTCGTCGATCGTGACTAGACCACCAGGCTTTCCCATGGCACCTTCTTGCCACCCTGGTAAGATTTTGGTGGCAGACCCAAAGCCCGCTGAATCACTCCGCTTTCTTCGCTGCGGGACATGGCCATTCCTATGCGTGAGCCGCCGAGCGGTGCTGCATCCTGGTCAGTTGCACTGCTCCTCAATGCCGCCTCGGCTTCGATGCTCCTCGCTCCGCTCGCTGGCACCTCAGGCGCCCAGTTGACCCCCATCACGCCGTTCGGGTTCCGAGTTTTGCCCGGCGCGCAGTTCTGCAGCAGACGTTGCTGCAGCAAGAGCAGAGGCATGAGCAGGAGGAGCAGGAGGAAGGACATGATAATCAGCGGAGGTAGAGGAGAGCGAGCAAGCGCGGTCGGGTATACCTCCGAGGGGCACAAGGAGAGTGGCAGCGAGGGCCTTTAGAGCGCCACGGGAGCCGCGGGAGCCCCTTTCGGAGGGGCGGCCGTGCATCCTTCTCCAATTTCTGCGCAGGCGCCAGCTCCAACAGGGGCCACTTCCGAAGTCAAGAATCAAACTGTCAGCATCTCGGATGATCCTGACGCCTCCCTGAAAATTCTGTGGACACTCTACGGAGCCTCTCTGAAGCGCCGTGGTGCTTTTTGCTGTTGACGGCAGGGCGGACTGTGACGACCTGGAGGTCTGTGGAAATCGGATCGGGCCCCGCCCACGGTGGCGCATAGTCCACAGTGGGGCTACGGGCGCAAGCAAAAACCTCGCCTCCCCGAGGGCAGGGAAGCCTCGCCGCAAAGGCCTGCACAAGATGCAGCGGCCTGTTTTTTTTTCTGTACAGCAGGCACCGCAGCGGGCAGCGGGCCCTTGGGCGACGAGTCTAAGATTCATCTTCTTGCCACGCACGAACCTCCTCCTCGGCCTCCTCCCGGTGGCCCTCGACTGGGCTCAGGCGAGCCCCAGAGGAACTGCTTGGGATGCAAAGTGGCTACAGGAGCTAGGGATACCTTGGGCGATGGGCACTTCTTTAGAAGAAGACGTCCCATGCCAATAAGGAAATTATTATGGATGTCCTCGCGCATTTATCGGATCGGCGCTGGTCCCCATCCAAGAGATCCACGCAGACATCCAATCGCATGTGTCTCCCTGGACAGCTTTTCGATAAGGGTTTTAAAACATCTGATGCCTCTAACGCCTGATGGGGAAGCCTGGGTCCCCAACAGCGCTGGCCCATCGTGAACCCCCATCATGAATTACGTCAAGCTGCTTAAGGCATCTTTAAATGTGGTCAATGATCTCCATCATGTTTTGGTGAAAATTATGATTGATAATAATCTCCCTAATAATCGACACCCTTGCGGCAGAAGGCCCTAGGCAGCTTATCAAGTTGCTAGGGCCTTCTGCCGCAAGGGTGTCGATCACGATGGAGATTATTCTCAGAGCATAGAACAGGAAGCGCACCACCACACCACCTGGACGATGGAGGCAGAGGGTGGTCAGGGGTGGTGGTGGTGGTGGTGGTGGTGGTGGTGGTGGTGGTGGTGGTGGTGGTGGTGGTGGTGATGGTGGTGGTGGCGGTGGTGCAAATCGTCTCGGGCGGTCTCGCAGGACATCATGCACACCTGCATCCCACGCACCAGCTCATCCTGAATCTCCCCGGGTGGTGGTGGTGGTGGTGGTGGTGCGCTTCCTGCTCCCAAGGGCTGGGCGAGTTGAGACAACTACGGCAGCTCCAAATCGGTCCCTGGACCCCTCCCGGGGTCCCAGCGCAATCTTCCGACGCCTGCGTCCAGCCGAGGCGGCGAGGCCCCCCTCCCCCGAATGTCATCGACAGCTGTCTCGACTCGCCCTCCTCAAACAATCCTCGACTGCTTCAACCTCTGGTCCTCCCCAGCAGCGCGAGCCCCGGACGCGGCCTGCCGACAGCGTCTCTCGCTCTTCGGCGTGAGGGAGCCATCTGCCGAGGCCCTGGCACGCACTGCCTTGCCATTGACTGCGGGCGTGAGGTGCGGTCCCGCGGTTTACTTGACCGCTTGTCGGGAGCGGGAGAAGGAAAGCATGGGGACCATGACCAAGAATGGAGGCGGAAGCGTCGTGTCGATCTTGGTCGACGTCGACCTTGGTCCGCGTCACGTCGTGCCTCGCGACTCGGCGACGGCCGACATAGAAAATGACAATGATCGGCATCGACAAGATCGCCCGACCTCTTGGTCGTGGTCCCCATGTCTCTTCCCTCGTCTGCGGGGAACGAAACATGGTATCAACTTTCGGAGATCCGCGCGGATTTCTTGGATCGGCGTTGGAACCCCCTCCCTGGACCCTGGAGTGCCAAGCGCGCCAGGGGCGGCGCCGGAGGCGCCGCCAGGGGCTCCAGCGCGGATGGAAGAAATCCGCGCGGAGCTCCGAAAGGTGATGCTTATGTCTTGTTTGTTCTTCGAAGATTGTTGGACTGACTGCCTGCCGGGCCGCCAGCGCGGCACGCCGCATTGGAAACGAGGGCGCTCACGCGCGACCTTACGCGAAGGGCTCACACGGCCATGTGAGTGAAGACGACTCCATGTTACAGTGCGGGCGCTGCCGCAAGAAACCCGTGCAAGAAAGCCAGCCCTGAAACCCGCAGGCGCGAGATGCAGGTGGGAGGGAGCCCGGAGCACCCTGAACGCAGCAGCTCCTTCAACGACCACGAGAAGCCGCCGCGCAGCGCGCGGAGCGAAGACCCAGGGCACCGTGACGAAAGCAATCAGCTTCCTGATGCTCGTCCCCACCGTCCTGCGTCGCACCTGTGAGCATCTGGCTGGGCTCGCTCCCTGACCCCACCGTGGGACTACCCCGTCACCCCACGAGCCCACGAGAGAGGTCGGCGGCGACGATGAGGACGAATAGCTCAGGGGCGGGCATTGCACGCACTCGCCGGGGAGCCCTGTCGAAGACGTCGGTCATCGGCGCCCCTGGATACCTGTATTGCTCTCCCTTGGGCTATTCGGCCCTATCGTCGCCTCTGAAAAGGCAGCCCGGGCACGAGGCCCGTGGCCGCGCCAGCGCGCCCGGCGGCCGCCCCTCGGCCGTCGCGGGCCACGCTCGGGGCGCAAGGGCCGAAGTGCCTGGGCCGCGGCGCGCGGGCGGACGGGCTCGGTACGCATCCAGCAACCCGGGCCTGGCCCGTCCTGGGCCCAGGAGGCGGAGGAGGAGGCGGAGGAAGAGGGGGCGGAGGCGGAGGAGGAAGACGGAGGAGGAAGAGGAGGAAGAAGATGGAGGCGGAGCAGCAGGAGGAGGAGAAGGAGAACGAGAAGGAGGAGGAGGAGGAGGATGAGGAGGAGGAGGGGAGGAGGAGGAGGACGGGGAGGAGGAGGAGGGAGGAGGAGGAGGAGGAGGAGGAGGAGGAGGAGGAGGAGGAGGCACCGCTCCTGGACCAAGGATGGGCCAGGCCTGGGGAAGTGGGCATGCATGGATCTCGTCGCCCGAGGTGTTCGGGCGGACGGGCATCTCCACCACCAGCCACAACCCCTGGAGGCCCAACGACCCCTTTGAGGGTTCAGGCGCAGTGGCGGGACACGCCACGCGGTAACCCCAGGTTCTCGACAGGCCTCACCTCACGGTCCGTCGCCGTACGGTCTTTTGGGGACCTCGGATGCCCCAGTCGCCCGAGGCGGACTCGGCGAACGACACAAATCCAAAAACCGTGTGGCCACCCCGCGTCCCCACAGACTCACCACACTGCCCTCTCCCGGACGTATCGTTTCTGGGCCGCACCTCCAGTCTCAAGCGACCGTTTTGGACGCTCCGGGCACTCCCAAAACGCTCTCGGCGAATCGCAGCTGGTGTAACGCATCCCGAAGCAAAAAAAACACCCCACATCCGAAACGTGCAACAAAAAACCCTAAAAATCCCAAGTCCCAAAACCGCGCAGCCACCCCGCATCCTCGCAGACTCACCACGCGTCGAAGTCACCGCACCGTTTGGGGGCCCGGCCTGTCGAACATGCCGCGCCTGGAGATGTTTGGGCCCCGCTGCTCTCGGGGCCCCGCCGGGGGGGTTTCTGGGGCCCCCATGACGCCGACATGTGACGGATGGCCACGGTCGGCAAACTTTTGTTCAGCGTGTCGCGGCGGCGGCCCCGGCGACATGCTATCCCTTGCGAATGGATGCGTGTCGCTCTGCCCCGCGAGACGACGAACTGGAAGAGGCTCGGGTTGTTGACGCTTGAGAACTGGAGCGGGAGTAGCGTGCCGCGCCGGGGCGTGTTGTTCCAGAAATGGAGGCGCGACGTGCCAATGCAAGGTTCTTGACAACACTATGGATGAACATCGGCGGCCCTCTGGGTCGAACGGCCAGGAGGTCGCGCCCGCGCACGGCAAGCCCGAGGGCGCCAACAAGGGGTGCGGCGCAGCCCGCGCGCGCTCCGTCGCCAACTTTTCGAATAGCCGACGATTGCGCAAAGGCCCTCCGAGGAAGTCGCTGGGAAAGGACGCGCGGACATCATGGTCCCAACCATATTGTGGTGTTGGGTCTTCGGTCCGAAGACACGACAGCACCCCGCGTCGTCCTTCCCAGCCTGTCCAAGGCCGGCCTGGAAACCGCTGGGCCCTGTGCGGAAACCCGACCGGACGGCGTAGCGCCGCGGCGACGGGGACCGGCCCGGCCCGACAGGCCCGGCATGCGCTTGACGAAAACGACCACAGGGCGCGCTGGGCGGAAACCAAACGAATGAGGAGGAGGAGGAGGAGCTCACTCGGAAGGAGGGGGAGGCCAAGAAATGGGCCGACCCGACCCGTTTCAATGCTTGCCCGGCCGGCCCATCGTCGGGGGCGGGCGGTGCAACGAGAGAAGCGCGAGAGGTGGCGGGAGGCGCGCGGGCAGCAATAATGCCAGCGCCGACAAGAAACTGGAGAGACGAACGAGATTGGCGCACGCTGATAAGACGAGCTTTCCCCAGCCTGTCTAGAGCATTACTGTGCAACCTGTGGTGGCTCTGTCGGCGAGCATGAGATACTGTATACAGCATTATCACACAACGAGATATGCGAATTAGTTCAAGCATACCGCGGGTAGGGCGAACATAAAGGCGATCGCGAGAACGATCATGCAAAATTACGCATGCAACTGAGGCAAGTACTTGCGCAAGCAAGACAAGCAGGCACAACCGATCAGGAGGGCAATCGCCACCCCCAGGGACACCACATGGCACCGGGATCTGTGGGAAACGCAACAACAAGGTTCCAGTACACTAACACCTACAGAACACGGCGCTTGGAAAGAAGACAGCAGAACGCAAAAACTACACCATCCATTTTCCGAGAAGCTCACTTGTGACCTAGAACGCCGACCATGAGGATCGATCATGCTCGCCACCCTCCCTTCGCCAGGACCCACCAATGTGTTTCTCCAATGTCTTATGTACCCGGGGGCTCGGGGATGTTTAATCTAGCTCGATGGTGACGCCGTGCCTGCTGTATCGAGGATCCACGCAAGAGATGGTTCTTCCCCCAAAGAACAATGCTGTCGCCACCCTCTCCGAAAACGAAAGGGCCCCTCGATGAGGGCGTCCAAACTGCGCGAACAGATAGCGTTCCTGTACATAGCTGCACGGCACACAGCGAAAAGGTCACGGCGCTGGGTCGGGAGCAGGGCCGAGAAGAAGTTCTTCATCGTGTGGGTAGTAGTGGCAATCCTCGGGCCAGCCGCCATCGCGTGGATGCCATGCCATCATCTTCAACTCTGGGCGTGGCGCTGGGGGAAAGGGAGCGCTGGCCGACGTAGCTTATGGCGCCAAAGAGAGCATGTTGCAGTGGGTGGTCGAGTGGACCATGCCAAGTCTTTGTTCTCTGACCTTTCGAGCCCTGCTGAAGTGCTGAGACGCGCGGACAGCCCGAGTCGCCCAGCGGCCGCAGGGGCGGGTGGGTCAGGAGCACGAGATACCTTCCCGAACGAACCCAATACAAGACCTGATCGCCACGACCAACCTCGGGAAGCCCCTGCAAGATCTCATGCTCTGGAATGGCCCCTAGGAACATAGTCTGCTCGCGGATCTGACCCCGCGCGGCGCGCCCGCGATGTCCCGCGCGGCCATCGCTCGGCGCGGTGCGCCATTTGCGAAGGTCGCGAGCGAAGGTTGCGCGCAGTGCAACATAGCCAAGGGGCCTGGCACATGCGAGGACGATGGCCGAGCCGAACGCGACATCGGACGCCCCTGCTTGACCCCTTTCAAGCACCAGAACCCCTCATCTTGAAACCCGGGGAAACGAACCTGGAACCAGGGCTGGCGGGAGAAACGCCCGATACCGCGAACGCAGAAACGGGGCGCCCCCCATATTCCGTGCATTCCAGGCTCGCAGATCGCGGAGAAGAAGCGGGAAGCCCGCGCGAATGTCGAAACGCATGAACCCGCTGCCGCGTTCATCTCGCAGGACAAACCAGCGACTCAGCCGAGCCCCCAGCTCGAAGGAATTGTTCGCCACGCGGCGGCCCCTAACCGACCCCCTCATTTCCCGACGCAAGCCGCGCGCGCAATGTGCGCGAGCGGTCAGTCATCGACGCGGAGGGCGGCTTGTTGCGCGAGCTCCCGAGGGCAAGAGGTCGAGCGCAGTCGGGGCCACTTATGGCCTGCCCGCGGTCGGACTCCAAGATACCTTCGGGGCGAAGACTTCGCGGGCCCAGTCGGAACTTTCGCTGGTAAGCGAAGTCCAGAATGCGGCAGTGCAAACTGCGCGGGCAAGTCCGGGTTACCCAGCCTCCACGTAGCCACGCGGTGAAATTCAGCACGTCAACGCCTGGTGCGGAGCCGTGTTCTCGGGCGATGCTGGCGAGGGGGCCCTCGCGCTCCAATCGGTAAACCACACCGTGGGGGGTCGAGGAAGGAGGTGGGGGGGGGGTCGCGCGGTTTCTGCGGCCTTCGGATGATTGGTGGGCGCGCAGCTCATCGGTTTTCATGTCCTTGGCATGATTGGCGGGTGCTTTCAGGATGCCGCTCATGTCCAGGACTGCCTCTGTTGGGCCCCCGCTCAATTCCGCAACTCCGCTTGCTACCTGGTCTGCCATCTGCAGATGTGGCCCACGTCGAAGTATCCAGTTCGGCTCGCGGAAACCTGAGCTCCCACTCCGTCCGGCAAATGCAACTGCCGCCGGGGCGTGGCCAGACGATCCACGGGGGGAGAATAACTACGGCCAGCGTCGCGCTTGTGGGGGGCGGGGTCGAGGGCCCCAGCAGAAGGCGGGCTGAGGCATATCCCGTCGATTCTGGCGCGGGCAGAAATCTTCGGGTTTCCGCGATCACCGTCGCGCGCGACCACGAAAGGAAAATGCGCCCTGGTCTCGGGTCGCTAAAAAGTGAAAGCCAAGAGCGGAGGCCGGCCTAGGAGTCGGAAGCGCCGCGCCCCCATCAGGATGGCGGCGGTCCTTCTCCCGCGCTGGTGACATGGAATGCCCTCGCCAATTCCATGGCGGACCTCGCGTTAGAAATTCTGCCGCTTCCCATGCGGGCAGGCCCTCTCGCCCTTCGGGCGACGGGCTGATTGGGGCCGCCATGCAAGTCGAATGCGCGCAGGCGCTCTGAAACATTCTGGGGCGCGGGCCAATGGATTCGGCCAGCCTCGCTAACGCAAGGCCGACGAACAGGGGAAAGATCGCGAATGGCGAGAACTACAAATAAGACGCAGCCTCCTTGCGCGCGCAGTGGGCAGAAAGCACCGACGAGGTAGCAATCGCGAACGCACTCCCTAAACATCGCGAAGTCCTCTGGGGCCCCGCGGGCCTCCTGAGCGCGCGCGACCCCGTGCTGCCTAGGAGGTGCGCAGGTCTGAAACATGTCGCTTTGTTATTGATATGCTAGGGCCTAATGGGGGGCCGAATAGCAAACGAAAGCTTCTGAAACCGATGCTAATTTTGTCATTGGAAATGCTCGCGGGCGGAGAGCGCTCAAGTCTGCGACGCCTTCGTCGTCGGGGTCGTCGGAGTCAGATGCCGAAGCGGAAGACGAGGAAATGGCTAGGGAAGGGCAGGGCGAGCTGTCAGAAGGGAGGGTGCAAGGCGCGGGTCTGGCACATCGTGAAATTGGTGGCTCTATTGACGCCCCATTCCCTGAAGATGTCGGTCGCGCGCGCTGCGGTCTCAGGACCAGTCGCACCCCCAATCAACAGTCAGGGAAGAAGCATAATATCGATATGGCAAGGAATGTGCTAGATGGCGGCTTATGCCAGCGGTGGTTGCGAGCCTGTCGAGCTCGTCCTGCTGCGGGGGCAGGGCGCAGCGGTCGTTGTCGGCAGCTTCGGGCTCAGTCAGCAAGTTAACTTCGCTATCCTGGGAAAGGAAGGCCGTGCCTTTGAAACCCTGGCTGCCCAACTTTACGCGTGGGGCCCGTCCGTGAATCGAAAGAAGGTGAGTCTTGACGCAATCCCACCAGAATCCGCGGATGCGGATCCTGTGCCTCGCGTCAGCCGTGAAACCGTTACAAACTCGAAAGACAACTAGTTGGCTAGTCTCGGGGCCCAACCGCGTGAGCCCATCTGCACGAGCCCGTTCCAAGAAGTCGCTGGCACAAGCGGCGCCCTTAAACGTGATGCTGCAACCCCTCTGCAAGCTGGAGCCTTTGACCACGGAGAGATGGCGCTATGTGTCTGAAAGGGCGAGGAATGTGACTGGTCGTGCATGTCTAAGAATCTGCTGGGACGGGCGCGAGGGAATCCACCAATCCACACTTTCCGTGGGTCACGAAAACCATTCAGGTTTTGACGGTGCTGCCGGTCTGGCCGAAAGAGCATGCGGGGCGGGAAATGAAACATTAGTCTTCTCAATGTTTGCGATACTGGCTTGTAGCATTGTGTCGATGGCAATATTCATTGTTGTTCGTGGGAATCGATCTCGTCCATGCGGTGCGTGAGGGATCGCGATCTTCTGCGCGTGCTCTTCGAACGACCTGTGGAGGATCCGCGCGTCGCCCTTGGTGGCCATGCTGTTCTGCATCGATCCCTTGGCGTGTGTCAAGCATGACGTACATTCGAGCCACGTGGACCTATGATGGCGAACCTTTGCATGCCGCATTGGTGGGCTGGCGGGCAACCTTGATCGGCTGGTTCTCTGTGTTCATCTCCTCACCACCCTCTGGTCCATCGCGGGTAGCATCCTTGGATCGGCCAGAGTGGTGCGACTGACTTGAACGGGATATGTTGTTTCTAGGCAGCAGCTCGCAGGGATCGAGAGGAAAAAAAGGAATGGGATCTGGCCCTGGATCAGAGGTGTCCACATGGTCCCACAGGAACCGATCATCTTGAGCAAACGGGAGGGAGGATGAGGGGGAGGTGGAGGAGGAGGAGGAGGGGGATGATGATGATGATGCTGATGATGATGATGATGATGATGATGCTGATGATGATGATGATGATGATGATGATGATCCGGACGCCTCCGGGTGGCCGAGGTCGAGTCGCAATCTGCGCGCGGCGCCGGCGGCGGGCTAATAGCCGAGGGCGGCGATGGTGGCGTCCGCCGCCCACAGCACCACCACATTGCAGAGCCGCTTAGCGAGCCTCCGCGCCGTGGTGCCGCGGCGGCCGTCGCGCTGCAGGCGGCCGTGCGCCTGCGAGGCGGCCGCGAGCTCCGCAAGCGCCGCGGCGGCGCCGGCGCTGAGAAGGCCGCCCGCCTCGACGGCGATGCTGTGCACCTGGTCGCCGTAGCGCGCCTCCTTGGCCCGGTCGCCAGATGCGGCGGCGGCCCCAGGGGTGCGGCCGGCGCTGGCCAGCGAGGGATTGAAAGGCGACCGGACGGTGACGTCCAGCCACTAGCGCTCGGCGCTGGCGGGGAAGGCCACGACGAGGTCCATGACCGCCTCCCTGATAGTGCCGTCCAGCTGCGTCCGGTATAGCTCAGGCACCCGCCGCTCCAGGTCAACGACGGCGCCTGCGGACCGGAGCTCTTCCTCGAGGCCGCGCACGGCCCCGGTGTGAGCCCGCAGCCGCGTGGCGCTCCTGGGGCACGCCAAGGAGTGGGCAGCGCGCCGGCCGAGCACCTCGCCGCATTCCCGCACCTCCTCGCATGATGATGATGATGATGATGATGATGATGATGATGATGATGATGATGATGATGATGATGATGACGATGATGATGATGATGATGATGATGATGATGATGATGATGATGATGATGATGAGA